GTGTGTGTGTGTCTGTATGCATGTGGTTTATTCCGAAATTTAATGTATGAAAAAAGGAAAGAAAAGAGAAGCCCGCGTTTTGTAAACCGCCAAACATTCATTATTCTGTACGCATCTGACAGCATGAGGAGTTGCCATATTTCGTATATCGCTTCGCACGTACAGATCTCTTTTCTCGTCTTCCTTTTTGCATATTGAGCCATTTTCCTTTTTTTTGAGGTTTCCTCTGTGTGCACCTATAAATGTATGATTTTTATTTCTTTTTTTTTGTAAGCTTATATGAAAATACACTAAGACACATCGTCAGGACACAGGCCTGTTTTTTTCTTTGTTTTTTTTTTTCTTCGTCTCCAGTACAGGGTCTCCGAAATTGGCGTAGTGGCACTGAGATCCGTTCATGATACGAGGTACCAGTTTGGTAGCATCTACAACGCCATCTGTAAGTCGGTTTTATCTCTAAATTTCCGTGTTATTGTTTTTTTTTTTTTTTTTTTTTTTCTGGGTGACTTGTGTCTTCTGGATGTATTTATTCCAGAGAGTTATTTTCTCTCTCTTTTTCTTCGTTCCTTACACGTCTAAATAATTTTCTTTCTCTGCCTTCCTTACTTTCATTCATGATCTGCCTCTCCCTCTTTCGGCATCCGCTCCTCAACTATTTCATTTTCCCCTCTCTCATCCACCTTCATTCGCTCTCTGTCTCTCTCCCTCTCTCGCTCATTTCCATATCATTTCCACATCCACTCTCTCTGTGTATCTCCCTTTACCTTCACCCACTCTGCCCCTCTCTCTCTCTCTCTCTCTCTCTCTCTCTCTCTCTCTCTCTCTCTCTCTCTCTCTCTCTCTCTCTCTCTCTCTCTCTCTCTCTCTCTCTTTCTCTTTCTTTCATCTATTCTCCTCTCCTTTTCCATTTCCTTTCCTCATCGCTCTCCTTCTGTTTCTCCCCCTATGTCACATAATTCTTCCCTCCTCACCCATTTCCTTTTCTTTCCCACGCTCTCTCTGTCTCTCACGCAACCTTACCCGCTCTCCCTCTGTCTCTCTCACCCACCTTCGCCCATTTTCTCTCTCTTTCTCTCATCCAATTTAACTCATTCTCTCTCTCTCAACCACCCTCACCCATTCTCTCTCTCACACTCTCACCCACCTTTACTCATTCTCTCCCTCTCACCCACCTTCACTCATTTTATCTCTCTCACCCACTTTCAGTCACTCTTTCTCTCTCACCTACTTTCACTCATTCTTTCTCTCTCTCTCCTCCAATCCTCACCCGTTCTCTGTCTCTCACCCAATATCACTAATTTTATCTCTCACCCATTCTCTCTCTCTCACACACCTTTATTCATTCTATCTCTCCCCCACCTTTACTCATTCTCTCTCTCTCTCTCATACCCAACCTCACCCATTCTCTCTCTCTCACCAACCCTCACCCATTCTCTCTCTCTCACCAACGCTCACCCATTCTCTCTCTCTCGCCAACGCTCACCCATTCTCTCTCTCTCTCTCACCTACCTTCACTCATTCTCTCTCTCTCACCCACCTTCGCCCATTTTCTCTCTCTCTCACCTACCCTCACCCATTCTCTCGCTTTCTCTCTCACTCACCTTCATTCATTCTCTCTCTCTCACCCACCCTCACCCGTTCTCTCTCTCTCACCCAATTTCACTCATTCTATCTCTCACCCATTCTCTCTCTCTCACACACCTTCATTCATTCTATCTCTCACCCATTCTTTCTCTCTCACCCACCTTCACTCATTCTCTCTCTCTCACCCACCTTCACCCAGTCTCTCTCTCTCACCAACGCTCACCCATTCTCTTTCTCTCTCTCACCCACCTTCACTCATTCTCTCTCTCCCCCACCTTCACTCATTCTCTCTCTCCCCCACCTTCACTCATTCTCTCTCTCACCCACCTTCACTTCTCTCTCTCTCTCTCACCCACCTTCACTTCTCTCTCTCTCTCACCCACCTTCACTCATTCTCTAATCCCCCCTCTCCCCCCCAGACCCCGCCTCCGGCACGTCCATCGACTGGAGTTACTCCGCGGGTGTCGTTCACACCTACACCCTCGAACTCCGTGACACCGGGAGCAATGGCTTCCTTCTTCCGCCTACCGAGATCGTCCCGACTGGGCAGGAGACGTGGGCGGGACTCGTAGCCGCTATTATGGCTATTTAAGTACCTGTTGCTGCAACGTTGCGACTGCTTAGATCACGGTTTGCTATCTTGGTCGTCTGGAGCTCATGGCTATATTGTTCTATCTTTGGCTACTTAAGACACGTTCTGTCATCTTGGTTAAGTGAGGGCCATTGCTATTTACTTGGCTATTTGTGATTTTTTTCTCTCTGGGGTCTTATAGCCGCTATCTTGATTGAATTGAATTGAATTATTTTTTTCTTTTTATCTTGGGCCTTTCGGCTCAGTGAGAGAATAGTAATTATGAATGTCCAGAAAATTTCCTTTTTTTTCTTCTTTTCTTCTGAAATAAAGTTGCTCATGAAAGTGCGTTTTATATATCCCCATACATACACACTCACACACACACACACACATACACACACACACACACACACACACACACACACACACACACACACACACACACACATACATACACACACACACGCATATATATATATATATATATATATATATATATATATATATATATATATATATATATATATATATTTATATATAAATATATATATATATATATATATATATATATATATATATATATATATATATATATATATATATATATATATATATATATGAATGAGGAAAACACTCTACCGTGTTGATACTATGGTAGAAAGTCCCTCACTCCCCTTCTCGGCACCTTCTCTCCTGCTCACCTCCGTCATTCCTAGGACTTCATCTCCCGTGTCCGAGGTGTCTCGCTGGCGACCATGATGAGCTTGGATGTCGACTCCTTGTTCACTAAGGTCCCGGTAGATGACGTCCTCACTTTCCTTGAGAGGAGCCTCCCCCCAGAGGATCCTCGTCTCCCTCTGCCCACCGACGTCTTCCTCCAGCTGATTCGTCTGTGTGTGGAATCGAACTCCTTTTCCTTTGAGGGTCGCTTCTACTCCCAGACCTTCGGTGTTGCCATGGGCTCTCCCCTCTCTCCGGTCTTGGCTAACCTGTTTATGGAATTCTTCGAATCTGAGCTTCTCCCTTCCATCTCCCTTCGTCCGACGGTTTGGCTGAGGTATGTCGACGACGTCTTCGCTCTCTGGCCTCATGATCCTGCCCTGTTCTCGGACTTCTTGACCCAGCTGAACTCTCTCTCCCCTTCCATCCGTTTCAAGGTGGAATGGGAGGCTGACAACAAGCTCCCCTTCCTGGACGCTCTGCTGACCACTTCTCCTTCTCCATATACAGGAAGCCCATGCATAGTAGTATGTATATACACTTCTTCTCTTACCATCCTCTTCATGTAAAGAGAGGTGTTGCCACGTCGCTGTTCCTCCGCGCCCTCCGCATCTGTGACCCCCAGTACCTGGATGGAGAGATCGACTTTCTGCGTCGTTCGTTCTCCAAACTGGGCTACCCTCGTCATGTCCCCGACGCCGCGCTATCCAGAGCACGGCGGACCTTCTACCACGAGTCCTCTCCTAAAGAGACTCCTCACCTGCCCACCCTCAGCCTGCCCTACACGGAGGAGATCCACTCTCTCCGCCGCCCTCTTCACACTCTCAATTGTAGGCTGATCTTTCGCCAGGTGAACACTCTCCGTCGTAACCTGGTCCAAACCAGCCCTCCCTCTTCCTTGAAGGTGGGCACCTATGCTGTTCCTTGTGGCTCCTGTGATAAGCAATACTTTGGCGAGACGGGCGCTAGTCTCACTAAGCGCTTGTCTCAACATAAGTATGCTATATCCAGGGGACACAACAACAACGCTCTCTTCTGCCATCAGTGGGATACAGGCCATCAGATGGACTGGTCAGCGGCGCGAATTGTTTTCCCCTCCGCTGACGTCCACGCCCGCAGACTGGTGGAATCTTCCTTAATAAAGCTGCTGCCTAATTTTAACTTGAACAGCGGCTTTTCTCCCGCCGACAGCCTCCTCGCTTCACACATCCTCCGCCTTTTCCCGCACGCCGGCCATCCTGCATACAATCCGCCCGACCCTCCGACCTGATCTGACCTCCCTTCGCTTCCGTCCGTCTGTCCTCTCCTGCCCCGTGTCGCCGCGTTGCCTGTCCTCTCTCCCTCTTATACCCCTTCCCTTCCCTTTCCTCTTCAGACCTGAGGATGGAATCCAGGTGGATTCCGAAACTGTCGTCTCACTTTCATTTTCAATAAATCTAGTTTTTACATTGTGGGTTTTTCTTTTTTTCATATATATATATATATATATATATATATATATATATATATATATATATATATATATATATATGTATGTATATGTATATATATATATATATATATATATATATATATATATATATATATATACATATATATGTATATATATATATATATATATATATATATATATATATATATATATATATATATATATATATATATATATACATATATATATATACACATATATATATATATATATATATATATATATATATATATATATATATATATATATGTATATATATATATACATATATGTATATATATATATTGTATTTTACTGCTTTTAAGATCCCAAACTGATGTAATCTGAATAAATGTAAATAAAATAATCGGCGAAGTAGGAGATAATCTTAAATAACCAGTTAATAAAGTGATAATTATATGTTCATGTGAACATATGTCATGTGACAAACGCCTAATATTAGATGCTCATTAAAGAAAACAAAAGAAAAAAATATATATACGCTCAAAAAAGGCAGAAAAAATATATATGCGCTCATTAAAAAGAGAGAAAATATATGTACACAAACACACACACACATATATATACAATACGTTCAGAAAGAGCGAGCGAAATGAACTTAATATCGATGATGGAACGGATAGGTATATAAAATGAAGAGAGCATGAGAGCAATAACTCAGGGTATTGAGAAAAGATGCTGATATTTGCTTTTATTTACCAGTTCACGGTTGGGGTGGTTTCCCAGATTGATTCTTTGGAATAACGTTTTCCGGAATTATGAAAAAACTGTTCTGGGAAGACATCTTTTTTTTTTTTTTTTTTTTTTTTTACTTGATTTTTTTCTTCCTTTTCACGTCTCTCTCTCTCTCTCTCTCTCTCTCTCTGTCTATATGTCTATCTGTCTGTCTGTCTGTCTGTCTGTCTCTCTCTCTCTCTCTGTCTGTCTGTCTCTCCCTCCTTCCCTCCCTCTCCTTCTCTCTCTCTCTCTCTCTCTCTCTCTCTCTCTCTCTCTCTCTCTCTCTCTCTCTCTCTCTCTCTCTCTCTCTCTCTCCTCCCTCTCTCTCTCTCCCTCTCTCTCTCTCTTATTCTCTTTCCCCCCCTCCCCCTTTCTCATTAACGATTTCCCAAAATTCACCATCATTATAACGTCTGCTCAACCTCTCGCATTCAAGACCCAGACGATCTTCCCTTTCACATCTACAACTTACGTAAGCAATAAATCTCTTAAGGCGTGAAACATCTCCTTTGACTGACGAAAGAAAGCCTGGGGAGGGAGGAGGGGGGTGGGAAGAGGGAGGAGGGAGGTGGGGAGGGAGGTAGGGAGGTGGGAAGAGGGAGGAGGGAGGTGGGGAGGGGAGGGAGAAGGGAGGTGGGAGGAGGGAGGTGGAGAGGGAGGTGGGAAGGGAAGAGGGAAGTAGGGAGGGAGGGCGGTGGAAGGAGGGGATGGGAGGAGAGGTGAGGGAATGGGGAGAGCGGGTTATGAAAGGGAAGGAGGAAGGAAGAGAGGAGGGGTGGGGATGTGGGGAGGGCGTCTGGAGGAAGAAGAGGAAGGAAGAAGGAGAATGGAGAGGCGGTAAGGACGGAGGAAGGATGAATGAGAGAGAGGAAGCTGGTCGGGTGATTAGGATTAGGAACAGGAATGAATTTGGTTGGGAAGGAACAAAGGATTTCTTATGGGGGGGGGGGGGCAGATGTATGAGGGGAGGAGGGAGAGCTTGATGGAAAGGATGGAGTAGAAGATGGGATGGAAGGAGTGACTTGGAGTGTTTAGTGGAGATTGGGGCGTCTGAATCTAGAAAGGCAAAAGACTTTGACTGGGAGAGAGAGGGGATAGACGTAGGATGAGGAAGAGATGCTGGGGGAGATGTAGAAGCATCTTAGGAGGAAAGGGGAGAGGTAGAGCGAATTGTTGGAGAAGGGAGTGAGAGAGAAACCTCGTCGACGTGCTCCCTGTCTGGCTTCACGTAGAGTGAAGCCAAGTCTGAATCTGAGAGTTGCCACTTTAGACTCAAACTTGTTGGTAGGGCAGTGCCTATAGAATACATTATGGGAGCCACCACAACTGCCCCACGTGCGTGACTGTGCAGAGTAGTTTGATCGATTATGGGCACAAAGAGACCGGCGGGCTGTGGAACGACAGTGTTTGGCAGGCTGGCCTAGACACCAGTAATTCTGACATTGACGGGGGGGGGGGGGGGATACATGGTCGAACAGGGAGGGACTCTCCGTCGATGTAAACATTAAAAGGGGAAGTCATGTCTATGGAAAGTAATCCTGGCAATATTGATGGGGGACTTACAACGCCCTCTAGGGGGATTGATGTAGCACTGTACTAATACTGCATCATAGTCTATGATTGATTGTTTACGTACACATGGAGGGCGGGATGAGGTTGGGCAGGAATAGTCTGTCAGCGTTGATAATGTTTTAGCTAGGGTTTCGGATGTAACTGTCACGAAACGGGTACGATCAGGGCGACTGCGGAAGGAAACTTTGCCTATCTGTTTTTGGAGATATTGCTGGAAGGGAAGAGTTGTCAGGGTATCCTTTCAACACGGCTCTCACATTTTAGGATATGGATAGTAGAAAGGGGTTGGAGAAGAAAGGGAAACGAAAAAGGCGAGAGAAAAAGAAAAATAAAACCTCCAGCATTGGGTCTCAGACTCAGTGTTTATATATATTTGGTGAATCAAGACCTCGCGTAGTTACACAGGAGCAAGATAATAGACTTGTTTGCCTCGTTCACTTCACGTACTCTACCCTAAAATAACCTGTTTACTGACTTCGGATCCGGTTGTATGTCAATTTAGAACAGAGTCGTCTATTAATTATATTAGAAACAGAACCGTCTTTTAACCAAAGGGCTTTAGAATTGGCAAAGACAAACCTCTGCTCCGAGTTGATGCCTTAACTAATCTCAGACCATCAGCAGGATTCATCCCTCATGCCTGGGAAGTGAAGATCCTCCTGCTCCTCAGCCACGCACGTTACTGCTACAAAATATTACTTCGATTCGATTTTATTGGCTTACTTTATACAAATAGCAGATATCATGGATATATTTGATATTCATATTTTATCTTTCTGCATTCATGTTTATAGATATACTGTACTATATATATATATATATATATATATATATATATATA